GTTACGGATTCACCGGGTTATATAGATAATCTGATTCATCTGGAAAGACAGGTCAATAAATTAAATATTCTTTTGGCGCGTAGCATTCTGCATGGTCGAGAGTTATTAAAAAAAGGCCTAATGAAATCTATTGGAGATGGACTCGCATCCAATCAATAAGCAGCGGGACATTAATCTCTACCTCAATGGATCATAAACGGTTAAAAGTGGCTATTGGTTGGCTGCCAACCATCCTCTGCCCCCACCAATTCCACAAACGTATTGAGCTTAAAAGACCAATTCCAATGTGATACAGCCACTCAACTGTGGGGTGTTTCTGGACTACCCACATCACAAGCTGGATTTGGAGATTCATTGGAAGACAATTTGGAAGGTGCTCTTCACTGTATGGAGTCGCAAGGGGCGATGGTGAATGATAGAGAGGCGATTCCATGGATGATCTGGAAGAACCGTAACTCGGTTCTTTTCGCTTGGGTTCAAGAATCGCTAAAGCCTGGAGGGAGGCTACAAGTGGTGGTTCTTCGGATCAACATCCAGCTGGGATGGGAAGAGAAACTGATAACAAATGGCATAAACCAGAGGCGCATATCGTAAAGTGCAATATTAATGGCAACCGGAGGAACTCCAAGCTGCATTGTGGCGGTGCGTGGATTGCTCGAGATCACTCTGGTTTGGTTCTATTTCATGCTCGAGAGGCATTCACAAGCTCACGAAATAGAATCACGGTGGAGTTTCAGGTTCTGATTTGGGCGATGCGTAGCCTTAGAGAGTTACATGCTACGGACGTGGTCTTTGCGTCTGATTGTCAAGCTCTGCATGAAGCTGCTCAAACCGGCGGACTGGCCGCGTTACTGGGTTTTCACGGAGCTTATATACAGGTTGAAAAGAGAATTCCGAAGATGTTCTTTTGACTTGGAGGCGGTTGCGGCGAATTCAGTATCTCCAAAAGTGTAACGCGAGATGGCAGGTTTAACTCGTACCTCGTAAGAGGAGGTTTGGGGTGGTTACATAAGTTGATTGCAAATGAAGCTTGAAGATAGCATCTTTTGTTCCCTTGTCATTGGGTGTGATGCTCTGTTTTTACAAGCTTTTTATGTTATGTTTAAGTTACACTTTTCGGTTACTCGTTACAGCCTTGTGCTTGAATAAGAGACTAGACGTTTAAAAAAAAATTATTAAGTCACTATACAAAATTTTTAGATATTCTTACATAAACAGATCTATATGCCATATTTTGAGTACAATACTAAAAAGAACAAATTTAACGATGTTTTCTATAGTTAACAAATTAGTAATTTGTCCGTCTCCATAAATGCGTGAGTAGCATTAATTTTTTACTAAACTTCTATATTATACATTGCATAATTAAACCTAATTTATGAAACTTTGACAATTTTGTACTTAAGAGTATGTCCATCGACATTTCTTAGTAGAGATTTTTGTTAAAAAAATAAATAAAAATATATAAAAGAAAGTGAAAGAGATGTCATAATTTCTCAAACCAGAACCTATCATCTAAGGGTGAAGATGATGATTGTGTGGTTTATTCCTTCGCTGTTTTAAAT